CCATTCATCACCTGTTCCACTCTTCAATGACCAACAGATCACCTGGTTGATGATGTCATACTTCGTGTTTCCATAGAAACGGGGTCTGGAGAACTCTCTGGGTGACGCTCGTCACTGGCACGACATGGAGCTGCAGAATCTGGGCTCTGTGGTCGCCAAGCTGGAGGCGGAGCTTGGCGAGGTGCGCAGCGAGATCGAACAGCAGCGCCGCGACTACGACACGTTGTTGAACAACAAACTGCGTCTGGAGCAGGAAATCGGCGTTTACCACGGCATCCTGGACGGAGAGGAGCGCCGCTGTCTGCCTGAGGCGCCGTGAGTTCCTGCGAAACCCGACCATGAGATCCAACATGGCTGAGCTTACAGCGCTAACATGGCTAACAAAGCTAAAAGTGCTAACATGGTTAACAATGCTGATTGTGCTAACAACACCAACAAAGCTAACATAGCTAACATGTCTGACCATGCTAGCAAAGCTAAGATAGGTAACATGGGTTACAGTGCTAACAGAGCTGATTGTGCTAACATGGCTTACGAAGCTAACAGCGCTAACATGGCTAACAGCGCTAACAGCACTAACATGGCTAACATGGCTAACAGCGCTAACATGGCTGATTGATCTCTGATTTTCCCTCTTCCTTCCTTCCTTCCTTCCTTCCTTCCTTCCTTCCTTCCTTCCTTCTATCACATTTACCTGATCAGGTGTTCAGGTGTGCAGTCAGACCCTGAGGGAGCTGCTCCAGACTCCAGGACCGACCCTCCAGGTCCTCCAGGACCCCCTCCAGGACAGTGATCCAGTGTAATCTGAGTGTGTGAGTTCAGACAGACTTGGACTCTCAGGTGGATCTTTGCTCAGGTGTGAAGGACACTCCACCTGCAGCAGGAAGAGGAGGAGGAGGTCATGTGACCTGCTGCAGGTTCTGATTGGACACAGCAGGTCAGCTGATGTGAACAGCTGACTCTTCCTTCAGTTTAATGGTGATGATGATGAAGATGTTCCTCTGGTTTGATGAAGATGATGATGATGATGATGAAGGTGTTGAATGTCATAATCAGAGAGATCGGTGATTGTTTGCTCTGGTCTGGATCTTTTTTTCATTAAATGTGTTTTTTTCTTTAAACTCTGTGTCCGGGTTTGTTTGGAGTCAAACAAAAACACACCTGCAACTGTGGGCCAATCACAGGAAAGAGGCGGAGTCTGCATCAGCTGACCATATGAGCTTTTAAAAACAACCTCCCTCGACGACTTAGTCTACGTTCAGACTGCAGGTCAGTTCTGATTGGTTCTGATCCGACCCTCTTCTGTATGTGGATATAAATCAGATATGTATCTGATGTGACTGCAGTGTGACGCTCAGGTCACGTTCATCGACCTTTACGTCATCAATATGAGACAAACGTCACCATTGATCGACGACACAAACAGGAGCGGGAAGACATTTGTGCTTTGTGTTCATGAGGGTCACTTCACGGACGCATCCGTTGTTGTGATGTGAACGACGCACAAAAAGATCGGATTTAACGAAAAATCCGATCTGTGCATCAGGACCTGCAGTGTGAACGTAGACTAAGGTGTAGAAATGTGACTAAAGATCTGAGGTCGGAGGTCAAAGCTCTCTCAGGTGGGTCCAGTAACGTTTGTTAGTTCATTATGTTTCATCATGTTTATATAAAAGTGTAACTTGTTTTAATTCTCAATTTTAATTTTGATTCATTTATTGATTTTAATTCACTTGAAAAGTGAACCTCTTTGTTAAATGTTTTCCATAATATATGAGACATGAGTGTTTAATTATATCACTAATATTAATATAAACAGGGATCCACTCTAACTCTGTTCTCCTGAGTTAAAAAAGTAAGGAGCACAAAGAACTTTAGGGGATCAATAAAAACTGATCAATAATGTTTGTCTCATTGATCAACCGGTAATTTATTGACGGTCCCTTATTCAACACAGACGTTGACAGTGAGGGTGTCGAGTAGATTTAACCGCGCTGCTGTTGTTATTCCCGGTTATGGAGAGAGAGAAGACACCGGTAGATCCTCAGAGAATGTCCGTCAGATATCCAACCTGAAACTAACTTCACCGCCGTATTTACAGGAAAATATATCCAACCTGAAACTAACTTCACCGCCGTATTTACAGGAAAATATATCCAACCTAAAACTAACTTCACCGCCGTATTTACAGGAAAATATATCCAACCTGAAACTAACTTCACCGCTGTATTTACAGGAAAATATATCCAACCTGAAACTAACTTCACCGCCGTATTTACAGGAGAATATATCCAACCTGAAACTAACTTCACCGCCGTATTTACAGGAAAATATATCCAACCTGAAACTAACTTCACCGCTGTATTTACAGGAAAATATATCCAACCTGAAACTAACTTCACCGCCGTATTTACAGGAAAATATATCCAACCTGAAACTAACTTCACCGCCGTATTTACAGCAAAATAAACATTTGTTGATTTTTTTTATTCACACACGTCTGTTTTCAGTGGCGGTGAAACGGTCACTCTGTCGGGTCGTGAACATTTACGGTAAATTTACTCGTCTGTCTGTAAAGTTTCTCGGTCTGTTTGTGTGTCTGAAGGTTAAAAATGAGAAACATCAGGAAACACGAGGACGATATCAGGAAACAGCAGCCTTTAATGTCCACAAACCTCTGAGCAGAAACAATCAATCATAAATTAATCAATAATCAATAAAACAGATCAAAGAATCATGTGTGGAGGCTGCAGAGGCTCAGAAACATCAGAGTTCATCGCTGAGGACCTGGAAACGCCACTCTCCATTAGCCTCACCTCCGTCTCCACGGCAACAGAACAGACAACGCCAATCAGCGGGGGGAGGGCTGGAGAGTGAGGCGAGTGTTTGATTAGATCTGTGCTCTGACATCATCAATAAATGATCAATAAACTGATCACTGAACCTCTGCAGCCTCCTCAGCAGGTCAGACTGACGCTCAAGAACACTCGTCCACTGCTGCATCAAAACACACACCTGATCCTCACAGGAAGAACCAGAACCAGTGACCCCACAGCGCCCCCTACAGGATCCCTGACTCTACAGCGCCCCATAGAGGACAGACTGACCACAGCAAACTGAGAAACAGTTCGCTGTAACCATGGCGACTGTTAGCAGCTGCTGCACCCTGAGTTAAGCGGCAGATTTATTGATCTGATCAGCTGATGATCGATAACCCGATCAGGTGAGGACAGCGACATTTGTTCCGCCTGCAGGGGGCGCTGCTGGATCCAAACTGATTTAAGTTTTTTTACTTCCTGTTTCTGAGAATGAACCGTCTCTCTATTGGCTGAGTTTCTGCAGCTTCACTTCCTGGTTGTCCGTCGCTCTGACAGCCACGGCGTCCAATCAGAGCAGCTTTGTTAGTTATGGAGAGTGACTTCCTGTCTGTAGAGAGTGACTTCCTGTTGGTCATATTAATCAAGTAAAAAATCAACGTTAGCATGAATCCGTCACACGCCCACTGTTAGCACAGTGCTAGCAGCTAGCATCCACAGGCTAGCTCTACAGTTTTTACCCATAATCCCACAGGCCTCAGTGTGCAGGTCTGAGCCAGGCCGTCGTACCGATTAAGCTCAGTAAACGCCAGCAGAGGGCGCCGTCTCCTCATCTGCAGCCGTCAGTGATGCATCAGTTCCTGGTCTGTGATTGGCCGGTGGTTTAGGCGGGCTGCAGTGGGATGTAGCCGACGCCCACCCCGCCCTCATGACTAACCATGGGCCCCTTAAACGTCCAGCGGTTGGTTTCGGGGTTGTACATCTCCACCGAGCTGAGGTTGGACTGTCCGTCATACCCGCCAACCGCGTACAGGCGGCCCGACGTTGACACCAGCGACACCCTGCTGCGCCGCGTGTTCATGGCCACCAGGAGGCTCCACTGTCCCGACACCGAGCTGAACACCTCCGCCCCGCTGAGGAACCCTGAGCCGTCGTACCCGCCCGCCACATACATGTGACTGCCAAGAGCGGCGGCCCCATGGCGGCAACGCTTGTTCATCATGGCCACCGCAGGGTGCCAGCGATTCGTGTGATGGTTGAAGAACTCCACCTGCAGGACGGGAGTGGAAGTGGAGAACAAGAGTCAGGAGGGGGTCTGTCTGTAAAAACTAAGACCTCCTAAAACAGCAGTGGTTCTTAACTGGTCTCACTCTGGGACCCACATTTTCCCATGATCCTTCAGTCTCGACTCACTTTTATAAAATTCAAAACAAGTAAATTTATTTTTATAAAAAAAACTTTAAAGACTCAAATCTTTAACGTAAATACACCGTTTTACAGAGTAAAGTTCATTTCAGATGAACTGAGGACGACAACTACCGAAGTTCCACGTGCAGAAAATATCAAATCAATATCAGATTACACAAAGGAAGATAATTTTCAAAATAAAAGACGTCAAATATCAGATGCACATTAAATATTTACTTTTTTGACCAGCAGTTTGTGACCCATCCAGAACGTGTCCGCGACCCACTTTTGGGTCGGGACCCACCAGTTGAGAACCACTGTCATAGAACATCCAATCAGACTTTAGAGTTTCATTCAACCTGGACATTCGAAACGTTCTACTGGACTCTATTTTATTCTCATCCACACAGTCCAGTTTAGAAGTGTTCTGGACTTTCCCCTGTGGGGCTAATATCAGGAACATCTGATCTTCTGCTCTACTCCAGTACACTCCCATCCAAGAACTTCTCTGGTCCCCAAACCGGATCTCGTTAGTCTGGACTCTCAGGTCTACTCTGTAGACCTGATCCTGTACTTGAACCATCACACTGACCGTGTTGAAGATCTGTAAACCGTCATGGCCGCCTGAGACAAAGATCCGTCCGTCAAACACGGTCACTCCGGCGGCGCTTCGACTGGCGCTCATCTCCGTCACCACCACCCACCTGCAGGACACACACACACACAGAAACACACAAAAACACACACAGAAGGACACACTGGATATAGATAACAATGAAGGGGTTATGTAATGAAATCAACTGATATCTATATAATCGACGTCTATATAACTAACATCTATATAACTAACATCTATATAACTGATATCTATATAACTAACATCTATATAACTAACATCTATATAACTGACATCTATATAACTAACATCTATATAACTAACATCTATATAACTGATATCTATATAACTGACGTCTATATAACTAACATCTATATAACTTACATCTATATAACTTACATCTATATAAACTGCTAATAAAAAGCAGATTTTTTTCAGTTTTTTGTTGTTTTGTGTAAAAAATGAATAAAAATAGATTTAAATTTTTTTTTTTTTAATTTAAATCATTTTAAAATTCAAACGGACCAACAGGAGGCGCTGATCTCTCCTCCTCACCGACGTGAACGACCCGTTATTGATCGCCGTCTCTAATGAAGAGAATCAAAGCAGCTTCCTCCACGTGCCCATATATGGACACACACATGCCCCGCCCACTGAAGGGCTCAGGTGACACTCACCTGTCCGTCTCCGGAGAATAAGACTCCACCGAGTTCAGAGACGACTTCCCGTCGTAACCGCCGCACACGTAGATGTGTCCGTCAATCACCACCGTTCCCATGGCGCTGAGGATGACAGACAGAGAGACGACCAGCTGACGGTGATTGATCAGTGATTGATGATGTCAGATCAGTGAACAGATCCTTCAGTTATCAATGGTTTATCAATCCAAATCATTACTGACATTGATTGATCGGTTAACTGTTATTGACAGTTTAAAGTCAGTTATTCATGGTTATTGATCAGTTATTAATCTCAGAGTTATTCATGGTTATTGATCAGTTATTAATCTCAGAGTTATTCATGGTTATTGATTGTTACACATCAATGTCACACGATAGATTACTTATCAGCTTACTTATCAATACATTTCTAATCAGTGATTGATCGTACTCTAAGTTAATATATCAGTTATTAACTTATTGGTTTTGGATATTTATTGATCGTTAAGAATCAATGATTAACACAGACAAATTGATCATTTATTGATCACTGATTAACAGTTATTGATCGTTACATGTTATTGATCAGTTCTTATTGGTGCATTGATCCGTGGATTTACCTGCGCTGGCTGTTCATGCTCGATACGCGTGTCCAGCTGTCCGTCTCCGGGTTGTAAACCTCCACCGTGCTGAGCCGTGATTGGCCGTCATATCCACCAATCGCATACAGCAGCCCGTTAACAACAGCCACGCCCACTCTGCTGCGAGCCGTCCTCATTGGCTGGCAGCGCTCCCAGAAGTTACCGATTGGATCAAACACCTCGACGACGTTTAAAGAGTCACCTGGAAACGAAGACAGTGACATCACGCTCTGTGATTGGTCAGCTCCTCTGACCCCCCCCATTAAACAGGTGTGGTCTCTGCAGACAGGTGAGCGTACCTGAGCTGTTGAGCCCCCCCACGGCGTAGATGAGACCCGTGATGGAGGTGCAGCACCTCTGTCGGGTCTTGAAGGCGGGCAGGTGAGGGCGCCGCTCCGGCATCAGGTGGAAGTCTTTGGCTTCGTCCACGAGGTCTCTGAAACACGACAGAGTGTGAGTCCACAGGTGAGAGGACAGGTGTGTGTTCATGACTCATCACACCTGTACACACACACACACACCTGCACTTATGGCAGCAGCGAACCAGCTCGTCCTGCTGGACCCGGTCTGACAGGAACTGAGGTCGACAAAGAGGAAGTCGGATCTTTGACAGCAGCTCTGGAAGGACCGCCTCCCTCTGCTCACGGCCATGATGGACCCACGACAGGACCGCCTCGAACACCTGCACAGGTGAGACCACACCCCCTCACTCTACCTTCACCTTCATCATCATCATCATCATCATCGGGTCTGACAGGTGAGACATCATCACACAGGTGTGTGAGTGTGTGTGAGTGTGTGTTAGTGTGTGAGTGTGTGTTAGTGTGTGTGAGTGTGTGTGTGAGTGTGTGTTAGTGTGTGAGTGTGTGTTAGTGTGTGAGTGTGTGTTAGTGTGTGAGTGTGTGTGTGTGTGCTCCTCCTCCTCCTCCTGCTCCTCCTCCTCACCTGCTCCTCCGCCTTGATGTTCAGCTCGTCACAGTCCAGCAGCTCCAAAAGTTCGTCCGTCCTCAGACCCAGAAATTCGTCAGATACCGACACGTCTACGAAGTGCTGATGGAGGAAACTGTTCGCTGAGTCGTACAGAGACGTGCACATCATGGTCTCCGCAAACTGACGCACACCCAACACGTTCTTAGGGTGGAGCCTGGACAGGTAACACACACACACACACACACACACACACACACACACACACAGGTAAGTTCTTCTTCTTCTTCTTCTGCTGAAACTCAAACAGATTTTCTTGTTTCTTGTTTTTATTCCCAGAGTCCAGATTCAACAGTCAGCAAGACCTCTGTTCATCTTTGAGCTGTTTGTTTACCGTCTGTTTACTGTCTGTTTACCGTCTGTTTACAGTCTGTTTATTGTCTGTTTATTGTCTGTTTACTGTCTGTTTACTGTCTGTTTACTGTTTGTTTACAGTCTGTTTACTGACTGTTTACAGTCTGTTTACCGTCTGTTTACAGTCTGTTTACTGTCTGTTTACTGACTGTTTACAGTCTGTTTACCGTCTGTTTACAGTCTGTTTACTGACTGTTTACAGTCTGTTTACCGTCTGTTTACTGACTGTTTACAGTCTGTTTACTTTCTGTTTACTGACTGTTTACAGTCTGTTTACAGTCTGTTTACCGTCTGTTTACCGTCTGTTTACAGTCTGTTTACTTTCTGTTTACTGTCTGTTTACAGTCTGTTTACAGTCTGTTTACTGACTGTTTACAGTCTGTTTACTGTCTGTTTACCGTCTGTTTACAGTCTGTTTACTGTCTGTTTACTGACTGTTTACAGTCTGTTTACTTTCTGTTTACTGACTGTTTACAGTCTGTTTACAGTCTGTTTACTGTCTGTTTACTTTCTGTTTACTGTCTGTTTACAGTCTGTTTACTGACTGTTTACTGTCTGTTTACTGTCTGTTTACTGACTGTTTACAGTCTGTTTACAGTCTGTTTACTGTCTGTTTACTTTCTGTTTACTGTCTGTTTACAGTCTGTTTACTGACTGTTTACAGTCTGTTTACTGTCTGTTTACCGTCTGTTTACTGTCTGTTTACAGTCTGTTTACTGACTGTTTACAGTCTGTTTACTGTCTGTTTACCGTCTGTTTACAGTCTGTTTACCGTCTGTTTACAGTCTGTTTACTGTCTGTTTACTGACTGTTTACAGTCTGTTTACTTTCTGTTTACTGACTGTTTACAGTCTGTTTACAGTCTGTTTACTGTCTGTTTACTTTCTGTTTACTGTCTGTTTACAGTCTGTTTACTGACTGTTTACTGTCTGTTTACAGTCTGTTTACTGACTGTTTACAGTCTGTTTACAGTCTGTTTACAGTCTGTTTACTGACTGTTTACAGTCTGTTTACTGTCTGTTTACCGTCTGTTTACAGTCTGTTTACCGTCTGTTTACAGTCTGTTTACTGTCTGTTTACTGACCGTTTACCGTCTGTTTACAGTCTGTTTACCGTCTGTTTACTGACTGTTTACAGTCTGTTTACTTTCTGTTTACTGACTGTTTACAGTCTGTTTACAGTCTGTTTACTGTCTGTTTACTTTCTGTTTACTGTCTGTTTACAGTCTGTTTACTGACTGTTTACTGTCTGTTTACAGTCTGTTTACTGACTGTTTACAGTCTGTTTACTGTCTGTTTACCGTCTGTTTACTGACTGTTTACAGTCTGTTTACAGTCTGTTTACTGTCTGTTTACAGTCTGTTTACTGTCTGTTTACTGTCTAACACTCCTGGTTTCTCCAGAGTCTTTATAACAATCATAATAATATTATTAATAACACAGTGATTATTATAATAATTATTGTTATTATTGTCGCTTTTTGTCCTTTTCTTCGTTTTCATCTCGTGTCTGGACTTCAGGCTATCTGTGGGTGATGAGTCAGAGCGTACTGAGCATGCTCAGTGGCGTGTCACTGACCGTTCCTGCAGGAAGTTGCAGCAGGCGTCTTTAACGTTCTGAAGCTGCAGGAAACTCGAGCCAATCAGGAGCGACTGGACGTTCTGCTGGTCGATGGCAACATGGCCGCTGTAGGCGAAGTTAATGAGCGCCTCCAGAGCGCTGTGGACGCACGCACACACACACACACACACACGCACACACACACACACACACACACACACTCTGTTAACCTGCTGAAGACTCACTGTACAGGTGTGTGTGTGTGTGTGTGTGTGTGTGTGTGCGCTCAGGTGTGTGTGTGTTACCTGGGGTCCATGCCCTGCATCAGGATCTCGTCTTGTTTACATTCCACCATGTCGTTGGTGAACATGGCGTGGAAGTACGGGATGGACGCCGCCAGGACGATCCGGTGAGCGCTGAACTTATGATCCCCCACCTGAGGAGACGACGACACACCTGAGTGACATCATCAACACCTGAGCTCACCTGAGTCAAACAGACGACCTGAACACACACCTGTCAACAACATCACCTGAGGAAGAGTCACCGTGTCGCCATGGAAACACCTGAGCCCTGACTCTCACCTGTGGACTGTGTGTCACCTGGTCAGTGTGTCTCAGGTGTGGTCATGACATCATAGTGACGGTCTCACCTGTCCTCCTCCATTCCTCTGACCTCAGCAGTCAGACAGCCAATAGGCGGCCGCCTTCCTTCCTGCTCGGCTCTCAGGTGAGTCATGTGACTCAGGTGTGCTAAGGTTAGCTCAGTTAGCTTTAATAACCCGATGACGTTCTCAGGTGATGCTGTGACGTCAGTAACCTGTCTAAACTGGCCGGTAGCGCGTGCCTTTAATCCGCTGTTAGCCTCGGCTAATGTTAGCATGTTGTTAGCTTCCCACAGGCTAGGCTAACTTTAGCCACGAGGGGCACGCGGGTCTCACCTTGAGCGTGACATCACAGAGTTTCCCCTGACGTCGGATCTCCTCCATGACGACATAGCCTCGTGCCGGCAGGTCGGTCACTGAGAAATGAACCAGGTCCTCGAGCTCTTCGCAGAGAACGTCTCCCATCGTCGGAGCGGAGCGGCGCGGACTGAACCCTGCGAGCCTCCGTACAGACACAGCGTCAAGTTCCTGTAGGGCACACTCACACTTCCGGTGAGGACCTTCACAATAAAACACTCACAGCTGGAATAGAAACGGCAGATATCTTGTATTCTAAAGGAGATATAAAAAACAAAATTATTAATTCTAAATAAAAATAAAGATGGCTGCCTGTGGTGTTCACAGCTGATCTTCTTTCCTATTGGAGGCATCAGATGTTGATGGAAACTAAACTAAATCTTGTTTATTCTTCCACCGATTTTATTTGGTTTATTTTAATGTTAAACATGTTCTATTGACACATTATTTATTTTCGTTTTATTATTTACATTCTCTGTATTAATGTTGGACATTGACAGGAAACTACATGAAAATCTCGGGTTGATTTATTTTCAGTGTCTCACTGCTCAGACTCAAAGTAGAGGCGTGTGGAATCTATGTGTTCTTATCTATGATTGTACAGCAGGGAGGCTGCGGTTGGTGAAGTGAGCGTTTTTATCTGCGACCATGAAGAACCAGAAGTTCTGGTTCTGCTGTGAGCAGATCTGGGTTCAGGTTTTTCCTCTCCGACCTTTAAAAGAATCAGCAGCAGAAATCATTTCACTCAGATATTAAATTATTATTATTATTGATCGTCTGTCCATCAAACACCCTCAAACTCTGTCCTGGTCTCTGGAGACCCTCATACTTTAGACTCTAAAGACCTCCAGGTCTCCTCGAGGACACCTTCAGGAAACGATGAAATAAACCAGATTCTTAGAAAAAGACTTTTATTTACAAGCTTATTTGACACCTGAACACATCGCCCACCTGTGAGGCTTCGTTCTTGACGTGGAGGACGATCACCTTCAGACGCTCGGACAAAAACACGACATGAAGAACCGGGTGGTGGGCGGCGTGGTGCGTTCAGGAACATCAGGCAGCTTCAGTAACATCCAGGTCCGTGTTTCAGCTGAGAGACCCGGAGAGGACAGAGCGTCCCTGAACACATCACCGCACAGTTCGTCTCAGAGCGGCGCCCTGAGTTCGTCTCAGAGTGGCGCCCTGAGTTCACTCAGAGCGGGTTAGAGCGGCGTTAGCAGCGGACGTTAGCGTGACCAACATGAGAACGAAGAGTTTGTAAAAAATCCTTAAAAAAGACGATCAGCAGGAATGTAAACGGATTAGAAACATGGACGCCCTCTGACAAAGACCACACCCACCACAGTGTTGCTATGCCGACAGGTCGCTGTTCTCAAACCGTTCCTGGTCATAGACCTCGGCCGAAACTTTGCGTCCTCCGAACCAGCGCTGGTCGAGCGCGGCGATGGCTCGGTTCATCTCGGCCGCCTCTGAAAACTCCACAAAGATCTTAACGATGACGTCGGCGCCGTCCTCCTCGCCCTGGCGCTCCTGGTAGATGATGACGCGCTTCACTCGGCCGAACTTGCCGCACTCCTCGGTGACCTCGCCCTCCAGGTCGTCGTCGATGTCATCGGGGCCCACCATGTTCCTCAGGACCATGACGGTGGACTGACAAGGACAAGAACATTCATGTTAGACCTGATCCGAACTGGACCAGAACCTGGACCAGAACCTGGACCCTCAGAGCGGGTCAGGGGTTCTGAGGTGATCAGCTGACCTCGTACCTCCTGTTTTCGCAGCAGCTTCCTCATCACCATGTGTCTGGCGCTGCTGCCGCTGATGCTCACGTGCTCCTGCTCGCTCAGCGCCTCCACGCCGCCCTCCACGCCGCCCTCCACGCCGCCCTCCACCTTCTGATGCTCCTCCTCCTCATCTTCTGGTCTCGGCTCAACAGAACCAGAAGAGGCCGCCGATGACAGAGGCGTGGCCAAGACCGGATTCACCAGACCCACCTGAGGCAGGCCGGGCTGGACGGGGGTCACACCTGGAACAGACAGGAAGGAGAAGGCGGTCAGACGAGGAACCGCCCCCAGACCGTCCTCCTGACCCTGAACGCCCTCGGTTGGCTCACCTGTACGGCCCGCTCAGGAGGTGGGCGGAGTTAAAATGTCAGATTGTAGCTGATTGGATGGTTGTGATGTAAAGAGGAGGAGAAATGAGTTTATACCTAAACTTCACTAAGCCCCGCCCACAAACTCATCCACGGAGCGCCGCAGGTCTTTTTTTAAGTGTGCGACTTTCATACACACAACACATAAACACACACTCAGAAGTACACAGGCGTCACTACACAACAAACAACAAAGTGACGACAAACACAAAATTCAGCCAATGACAGTTCAGCACGAAGGAGGATCAGGTGGGGGTGGAGTTAAGGTGTGCGTGGGCGGGGCTGTAAGTGTTCTTACCTGTGATGACACCTGGAGCCTGGGCAGCCATGACGGCCTGAGGAAGA